CTCCTATCCACTGGAAGCGATGGAATGTCCTTCCCATTTGTTTAGTGTCATCCTTTATTTTCACTTGGACGCAGTCGTCTTTGGTGCCAGGTCTTCTTTTTCCTTGAACGAGGGTCTCTCACATCCCTTGTGAGTTGGATTCCTAGGGTATTTTATTCTCTTCTCGAACGCAGTTTCGAATCGGGAACGTAGTTTCATTCATGAATTGCTCCTGTTTTGTCTGTTCCTGGGTGGTTAAGAAAATGCCTTCGTGGATTTTGCAACATTGATTTTGTATCTGCGAGGAACTTTGCTGAAGTGCTATCTATCAGCATTCAACCGAAGGAATTTTGGGCTGAGAACCGATGGGGTTTTTTTTCCACTAACATATAGCAAAATCATGCGCCCGGTCAAATACAGAAACCAGGGGACCAGATTGAAGCTACCGCCTCTTATTCTCCTAATTGAATGCCTTTTTTTCGTGTCTCTTACCTGGAATTGCCCCTGGGGGCCAGAATTCTCAACCGAACTTCCAACACTATGTTGAATAGGAAGTGGTGAGAGAGGCCACCCTGTGTTGTGTGCCAGTTTCCACAAAGGGAACACTGCTTCCAGTCTTTTGCCCATTCAGCTCATGAATTATCTGGCTGTGGGTTCTGTCAAGTAAAGTAGGGTTTCCTGGATTTGAGGATACGGTGGCCTACATCAATGACGACATTATTCGAGAGTTTTGCTTAGCAGGTCATGAAGGCTGTTTGAATTTTGTCAAAGGCCTTTTCCGCGTCTATTTGAGATAATCATGTTGGGGGGTTTTGGGTCTTTGGGTTCCGTTTAATATGCTGGAATTTATCGTTATTGGAATTTTGTGTACGTTGAAACCAGCCCCTCGCATTCCAGGGATGCACGCCCACTTGATCAAGGTGGGATAAGTCTTTTTGACTGTGCTGCCTGGCATTCCGGTTTGCCAGTTATTTTATTGAGGATTTTGCATCGATGTTCATTAGGGATTTTGGTCTAAAATCCTCTTTTTTTAATTGTGTCTGTTGCCCAGGCTTTGTATCACGGGGACTGGTCGTTGGCTCCATAAATGCAGTTAGGGGAAGGATTCCCTTTTTTTTATTGATTGGGCAATAGTTTCAGAAAGGAATCCGTACCCAGGCCTCCCCTCCTTGTCCTCTGGTAGAATTCGGGCTTGTGAAATCCATCCTGGTCCTGCTTCTTTTTTTGCTTGGTAGATTTATTATCTATTCCGTAAATTTCAGAGCCCCTGGCTAATTTGGTCCTATTCAGGGATTCACTTCTTCCTGGTTAGTCTTTGAGAGAGTGTATGTGTTGCAAGGAATTTATCATTTCTTCCCTAGGTTTTTTCTAGTGTTATTTGCATAGAGGTGTTTGTAGTATTCTCTGATGGTAGTTTGTATTTCTGTGGGGTCGGTGGTGATATCCCCTTTATCATTTTTTATTGCATCTATTTGATTCTTCTCTCTTTTCTTCTTTGTTCGTCTTGCTAGCCTGACCACCAATTTATAAGGCTGTGCTTTGTTGGTGACGTAAAGGATTGTTTCGCAGATTGCTGGGGAGGGACAATCCCAAGGCCTCACCTGGCCCTGGTCCTGGCTCTGCACAAAGGCAATAAGAGAGGGATGCTGGTAAGGGCTGACCTGTTCCTGTGCTGGGGAGGAAGGTGCTGGGCTGAAATTCAGGAGGCTGAGGATGCAGCAGTCCCATAGGAGGTACATGACCTTCAGGATACATTTTCTTAATTGATGATAAATGGAAATGAGAAATTGTTGATTATTTTTTCTGCCATTGGATATCTACCCTCTACTGCTCATGCTGTTCTTGTCTTTTGCGGAAGATGGAGGATCAATCAGTGGGTGCTGCACTGAGTGGAAGGAAGGAGAACTGTGACAAAAATTAAGGGGATATGAGGGATGAGAGGTCCTTCATCCAGGTGCTTGCAGAGCCCTCCTGAGGAGGAAAGCCCTGTGGCTGCCTGGGGAAGAAGCAGTGAGGGCTGCATGACTCCCACAGTCATGTGTGTGGTATGTCTAAGGACACCCGGGCTGGTCTGTGAGGAGCCAGCAGCAGAGTGAGAAGCAGCAAGGCCAGGAGGGTGGCTGGAGGCCAGTCTCTGGGTCATTCTCCATGTGATGGAAACAGCCAGACCCCAGTGGGCTGGGAGGTGCAGGATGCAGTGACTGATGACAGAACAATGTGGAGAGAGGTGCCATGTGTCAAATCTTTACTTTGTTCTGGGCATTGTGCTAAAACTTCCCATGGCTCATCCCATTTAGGGGCTGAAAGTTGCAGAGGTTTAGGAAGCTCACCTATGATACTGGAGCCCCCATCTCCTGCCCTAGTGTTGTCCCCCTTCTCACCCAGCCACCACCTGTTTCAGGGCAACATGCAGAAGTGGTAACCTCTTATGGACAGGCAAGTAAATTCTGCTGTTTTTGTTATTCACAGAAAAAAACACTGGCTCGTGTGGGTTGGGAAGGTGAAATACCAGAAGGATTTCATCTGGTTATTTCTACCTATGTGAATCCTATAATATTGAAATGCATAGGTTAGCATTTTTGGCCAATTTACTCAGCATTCTGGGTTAAAGGCTCTTATTTTATTTATTTATTTATTTATTCATTTATTTGTTTATTTTTGAGACGGAGTTTTGCTCTTGTTGACCAAGCTGGAGTGCAGTGGCATGATCGTGGCTCACTGCAACCTCTGCCTCCTGGGTTCAAGTGATTCTCCTGCTTCAACCTCCCATGTAGCTGGGATTATAGGTGCTTGCCACTATGCCTGGCTAATTTTTTGTATTTTTAGTAGAAATGAGGCTTCACCATGTTGGTCAGGCTGGTCTCGAACTCCTGACCTCAGGTGATCTACTTGCCTTGGCCTCCCAAAGTACTGGGATTATAGGCATGAGCCACCATGCCTGGCCTAAAGGCTTTTAAAATTCACTTGCATAAGCTGACTTAGTTTTCTTTAACCTTATAGAAAAATACAAAAATGGCAATCTCTTTTATCACACAAATAATGTCTTTTTAATAGAGTTATTTTTTCTAATTGATGTATTATGTACTTTTCATTCACTAATAAATTGCTTACATTTGAAGTGTTTTATGAATTAATATTTAATTGCATAGATGAAGATTACTAGTCATAGGCATTTTACTAACCAATACTCATTAAGCATAGCATGGATTGATGTGATGTTGCAGGCTGAAAGAGTGAGGGTCGTGATCAACTCAGTGTGCCACTGGAGGCTATATGAGTAAACAGCAAACTGTTCTCATGAATGCAGAATGTTGGCAAAATGACAAACTGTGTGTGCCACCCAGAGGGAATGCTGAGGGCAGTCACACCCCAGGCACAGCATTTCTTGAGATTAGGCACATCTGAAGCCTGTTAGCAATAATGTGAACCTGTGATCAATTGAGAAGCTGACCAGTCATTACCTCCTGCTCTCTGCTCTTTCTACTCAATAAATACGAAGGGCTGTAGAAGCTCAGGGCGGCCGCCCTTGCCCACTGGAAGCTAGGAGCCCTCTTCTTCTTCCCTGGCTCCTTCTTTAAACAGTTTCTTTTTTCCTTGGTTTTCATTTCTTCATTCATCCTCCTTTGTTCAGTCCCGCAGTAACTGTGGCAAACCATGGGGACTGTCACAATGTGATGTCAAGGAGCTATTTTATCTGGTAAAAGGAAAAAGATACCACAGGAATTAATGCAAGAGCTGGACCAGTGGAGACACCGACAGTGATTTGTCTAAGATCCAAATCATTTCGTTGTCTTTCCGGCCTACCATTGTCATCAGCATTGTTGGGGTCCTTTTAGCACAGATTTCTCAAAATGGGCAACCCATAACACTTGGAAGCTTATGAATTCATAGAATTTGAAAGAGGGCTATTTGGGAGCACCCATCTATTTTAAAATTCCAGTAACCTGGGAATTTCATCCCATGTCTAGAGTCTTTTATGTAAATGATTTCCACTATTAGAAATATGTGCATGGGGATTTTCTATGAAGCAGTGTTTTGGTAGAATAGAAAGTTGGGACAAACCAAATTTCTATCACGAAGGAAATAGTAATACACTGAATAATAATACAGTGAATATTATGCAGGCTTTAAACATCAAAAAAGAGCTCAACTTCTGACTTCCGATGATCACATTGAAGTAGGTCACAGCTGGTTTACATTTGATTTTCATGCGGGAATTCTGGGTGTCTGCCTTAGTGATTTTGTATGTGGCTAAATTTAGCCAATGAAAAGCTATTTGAAGTATCGCAAAATGGAACTTTAAAATACTATCTTGTCAACAACCAAGTGGATCTGTTTCACATAAAACCCTCACATTCATCTGCCTGCCCCTCCTTCTCTCTGTCCCCACGGATATCATTTGTTAGTGGAACTGAGTGCTCACTGTCGAGCTGACAATCCCATAACCTTTCTGTTCCTAATCACACATTAATTCTTCAACAAATCCCTTTTGATAGATTGTGATTAAACTTAGCTGCTAGTTCCAATTGCTTCCCCAAACGTACTTCTCACTGTTCTCCCATCACACCCTTCAGCCCATCCATGCGGGGTTCCTTTGCTTTTCCCACCTTACACCAAACTCCCTATTTTCACTCCCACTTTTACCTCCTCTCCAAGACAAAACAAACAAACACAACTAGCATTTTAAAACTTAGTTGTAATCTTTGTTCCTTTATGAAAATTTCTCCAACAGCCACTCCCATGGCCCTGTGTGTTCCAGGTATTTTTAAATATTGGCTATAAGGTTGAGCACATCAGGATTTGCTGTTTCGGGCTGCACAGTTTTGTTTGTATTGATTCTTCCTATTGGAGGCGTGGTCATTGCCTTCTCCTCCTCTGGGGAGTTTATGCCAGTGCTCTTGAATAAGATTGGCAGACAGTTTTTCTTTTTATACTTAATATTTTTTGTTTGTTTGGTATTGAGATCATCCATGGCTGGGGACTTCATCCACGGCTGGGAACTTCATCCACGGCTGGGGACTTCATTCACAGCTGGCAGCTTCATCCACAGCTGGGGGCTGCATCCACAGCTGGGACTTCATCCATGACTGGGGACTTCATTCACAGCTGGCAGCCTCATCCACAGCTAGGGGCTGCATCCACAACTGAGGCATCATTTACAGTTGGGGGCTTCCTCCACGGCTGGGACTTCATCCACAACTGGGTCATCATCCGTGGCTGGGACTTAATCCACGTCTGGGGGCTTCATCCATGTCTGGGGGCATCATCTGTGTCTGGGGGCATCATCCATGGCTGGGGAGTTCATCCACAGCTGGTTTGCCTGATCTGTATCTGAGTCACAGATACAGATTATTAAACCCAGTAATTTTATTGAGTTCCACTTCTATAGTTTTTGTTTCAAAAGTTGTTTGTTGATAATTTAATGAAATAAACGAAATCAGAATTACCCCCTTTTAATTATGTCCTTGTGTCAATATAGAAAGAGTGGATTTAAGGAAACACTGAGATGCCCCTGTCTGTGTTTGTGAACAGGACTGTCGGGTGTAAAGCCTTTCTCTGGTAGCTCTCCAGAAGATTGCCCCACCTTACACTTGCTTTCTGCAGGTTCCAGAGGCTTCCATTTGAAAGGAGACTCTCTCCCCACTCTGCCTCACCCCACACCAGCTCTCCTGTAACCCACAGACTTTGTAAATGCTTTCTTCCACCTGCACCTCATTGAATTCAAAACTTGGAATATAGTCAAAAATTCTAAAAAGGTGGGAGTGGGTGTGATCTGGAAATCCCTGCTGTAATGTTTTTAAGGGAATCTACTGGAAACTATGTTTTAAATAAAACCAACCATCCCTTAGCACTAGAATATCAAGCCATTCATTTTTTAACAGAACTTTGAGATATAATTCAAATATCATAAATTTCACCCCCACACAGTGTACACACAATTCAATGGTTTCTAATATATTCCCAGAGGTCTGCAAAAATTACCACAATATAATTTTAGACAATATCATTTATTGACATCCTTACATGCATATAGATGTAGATATATATAATTTTAATATCATCTTGAATATTGTCGTATTTAATATTGTACTATAATAATATCTATTTGTGTCTTTATATTGCTGTTTCATTTTGTTATTCTGAATGACAATCTCCATGTACCTTTATACAGGTTTAAAATACACCTTTTTAGGACTCGAGAAATTAAATTGTTTCTAGTAAATCACATAAGAAACACACATGCTGTTGTTATAAAAATTCAAATACTGCTCAGATCTGTAGAATGAAATGTATCACCGCCAGCGCCCCACCCATTCAGTCATCCACATCCACTTACACACAGATAGACATGCCCATGTTTTTACATAATGTAATCCTGCTTTGTGTGTTGTTCCCTGACTGGCTTTTCCATATAAAGTAGAATTTGGTGATCATTGCTTATCAGTACATGTAGGTCTCTCTCATTCTTATTTATAGTTGCATCATTATTCAACAGGGTATTTTACCATAATTTGGTCACTTTTTCACTGTGGAATTCTTATGTTGGATTCAGTTATTTATTACGATTACCTATACTATCCTGGGCATACCTGTATATTCATCTTTTTGGTAACTTAATTAAGTGGGATTTTTCTTTCAAGGTTGATTTCTAAAAATAAAATACTGAGGCAAAGTATAAATCTTTAGTTATTATTATTATTTTTTGAGACGGAGTCTCACTCTGTTGCCCAGGCTGGAGTGCAGTGGCATGATCTTGGCTCACTGCAAGCTCGGCTTCCCAGGTTCACACCATTCTCCTGCCTTAGCCTCCCAAGTAGCTGGGACTACGGGCGCCTGCCACCATGCTCAGCTAATTCTGTTTTTATATTTTTACAAATAACACAGGGTTTCACCATGTAAGCCAGGATGGCCTTGATATCCTGACCTTGTGATCTGCCTGCATTGGCCTCCCAAAGTGCTGGGATTACAGGTGTGAGATACTGCGCCTGGCCATATTTTGATAAAAAATTAAAAATTCGTGTTTCAAAAAAATGTAATGATCTTATATTCTCACCATCAGTACATGAGAGTTCCTGTTTCCACACACCCTTAATTACAGAGGAAATGACCAATGCTAATCTTGGCCAATTTTATGATTAAGAAATATTTCCACTTTTAATTTGGATTTCTCCACTTATTAGAGAGATTGTGCATTTTTTGCATATGTTTACTGGCCATTTATATTTCTCGCTGAGAATTTCATAATGATATGTTTTACTAGTTTTCTAATTCATTTAATGATATTCTTTATATATTCTGCACATTTATTCCATATAATTAGTAAGTTTGTTTCTTAAGATCTGTGTCATAACTTTTATTTTGTTTATATTATCTTTGTTTTAAAGAAACTTTCATTTTTAGATAATCAAATTGTTGATTATTTTCCCTACCATTTCGGGATTTTGTGACTTGCTTTCAATAGTATGTCCTTTTAGGGCTTTATTGATTTGTTTTGTTTAAAGAATGTGCTCAAATCTTACATTGTTTAGTAATTTACTTTCTCCCATTACAGTATGTGGACATCACTAATTCCAACTAACGTAGATCAAATGTATCATTTGAATTTCTGTGTAGTAATGCGCATTGTAGATAAGTTCTGATTTCTTTAACTATTCCCTATTATATGGATATTAAGGTTGTTTTTAAAAATTCCCACCACTAATATCCTATGTAGGCTAAATGACACTAAAAGATTTTTTTTAATAAAAATGCTAATTTGGCTGGTGAAAAATCCCATAGATGCTTTAATTAATCAATTTTTTTCTATTTCAATTAGTTGCCTATTCAGAGCCTGTGTGTATGTATTTCTATTTGGCAGTTTATAGTTGGAAACACTCCTAAAAAAGGAAATCTAAAAACCACACAAAATACAAAAACATATTTGATAAGAATTAAATTTCTGCATATCCAAAAAATTGCTAAAAATATTAAAATTGCAGTCAAAATACCAGCTTATGAAACAAAGCAAACAAAAATACTAAACAGAAGAAACAAGCTAGGTGCAGTTGCTCACCCTTGTAATCCCAGCACTTTGGGAGGCCAAGGCAGGAGGACTGTTTGTGTCCAGGTGTTCGAGACCAACCTAGGCAACATAGCAAGACCCCATCTCTACAAAAAAAATTAAAAATTAGCCGAGCATGGTGATGCATGCCTGTAGCCCTAGCTCCTCAGGAGACTGAGGTGGGAGGATCACTTGAGCTCAAGAGATCAAGGCTGTAGCGAAGCCATGTTAATGCCACTGTACTGCAGTCTGGGTGACACAGTGAGAGCTGTCTCAAAAAAGGAAGAGGAAAAGAATACTCGAGCTCCACTTCCCCACCACAGAAATCTAACTGGCAACTATCCACAGACGGGAATACCCTCAAGAATATATATTCCAGAAACAGGAGGAATGTTGCCCAGGCTGGAGTGCAGTGGAGTGATCTCGGCTCACTACAACCTCTGCCTCCTGGGTTCATGCGATTCTCCTGCCTCAGCCTGCCAAGTAGCTGAGATTACAGGTGCCTGCCACCACACCTGGCTAATTTTTTGTATTTTTATTAGAGATAGGGTTTCACCATGTTGGCCAGGCTGGTCTCGAACTCCTGACCTCAGGTGATCCACCTGCCTTGGCCTCCCAAAGTGCAGAATTACAGGCGTGAGCCGCCATGCCCAGCCTACTGTCTATTGACTTTTGATAAAGGCACAAAGAACACACCAAGGGGAAAGAACAGTCTATTCAATACATAGTGCTGGGAAAAGTGACTATTCTTATGCAGAGAATAAAATTAGACACTTATCTTGCACCATGCCCAAAAATCAACCCAAAATGGATCAAAGACTTAAACATTAGGCTGAAAACTGTAAAACTACTATAAGAAAGCACAGAGGAAAAGCTTCATGACACTGATCTGGGCAATGATTTTTTGGGTATGTCCCCGAAAGCACAGCAATAAAAGCAAAGATAGAAACAGAATGGCATCAGACTAAAAAGCTTCTGCACAGCAAAAGGAACAAGTAACAAAGTAAAGAGACAACCCACATCATGAGAAAAAATATCTGCAAACCATACATTAGATAAGGGGCTAATATCCAAAATATGTAAGGAACTCAATCAACTCAACAGCAAAATAACAAATAAGCCAATATAAGAATGAAAAAAGGAACCAAACATATTTTTCAAAAGTAGACATGCAAACAGCCAACAGCTTCATGAAAAAATGCTACCTCAAAGGCAGGTCCTGGGACCAGTAACATCAATATTATCTGGGAGTTTGTTCAAAAGACAAAATATCAGGCCCCACTGCAGACCCACTTACCTGGAAGTTGCATTTGACAAGATTCCCAGGTGATCCATATGCATGTTAAAGTTTGAGACGCTTACTATAGACAGCAGGTACTGAAGAAGCTCTGGGGCCCAGAACTGACCGGTGGCAACCTAAATCTTTAGGAAAATGCAAATTAAAACCACAGTGACATAACACCTCCCTCTCATCAGAACGAGTTTTATGAAAAAGACAGAAGATAAGTGTTGGCCAGGATGTGGAGAAAGGGGAACCCTAGTACCCTGCCGGTGTATAGTACAGCTGCGATGGAAAATGGCATGGACGTTCCTCAAAACACTAAACATAGAACTATCCTGTGAGCCAGCAATCCCACTTCTGAGAATATATCCAAGGGAATTGAAATCAGTGTGTTCACGGATATCTGCATTCCCTTGTTCACTGCGGCCCCATTTACAGTAGGTAAGATGTGGAATCTGCCTAAGTGAATCAGCCTAAGATGAATGCATACAGAAAAGGCAGTGCACATGTACAATGACGTACTATTCAGCCTTAAAAAGAACAAAACTCAGCTGGGCATGGTGCCTCATGCCTGTAATCCCAGCACTTTGGGAGGCTGAGGTGGGCAGATCACCTGAGGCTGGCAATTTGAGACCAGCCTGGCCAATATGGTGAAACCCCATCTCTATTAAAAAAAATTTTTGTATATATACACACACACAAAATTAGCCTGGTATGGTGGCGCATGGCTGTAATCCCAGCTACTTGGGAGGCTGAAGCAGGAGAATCACTTGAACCTGGGAGGTGGAGGTTGTGATGAGCAGAGATCATGCCATTGCATTCCAGCCTGGGCAGCAAGAGTGAAACTCCATCTCAAAAAAAAAAAAGAAAAAAAGAACTAAACTCGGTTATTGGGAAGACACAAATAAATCTAGAGGACATACTGCCAAGTGAAATACAAACACCACAGAAAGACAAATATCACATAATCTCACATGCACGTGGAATCTTTTAAAAGTTGAATTTGGGCCAGGCGCCCTGGCTCATGCAGGTAATCCCAGCACTTTTGGAAACTGAGGCAGGTGGATCATTTGAGGTCAGGAGTTTGAGACCAGCCTGGTGAACATGGTGAAACCCTGTCTCTACTAAAAATACAAACATTAGCCAGGCATAGTGGCAGGTGCCTGTAATCCCAGCTACTTGGTAGGCTGAGGCAGGAGAATCGCTTGAACCCAGGAGACGGAGGTTGCAGTGAGCTGAGATTATGCCATTGCACTCCAGCCTGGGCGACAGAGTGACACAACATCTAAAAAAAAAAAAAAAAAAAAAAGTTGAATTCATTCAGTAGAAGAATGATGGTTACTATAGCTGGTGAGGTGGCAGAACAAGGGAATGGAGACTTCCTCTTCAAAAGGTACAAAGTTTCAGCCAAGCAAGAGGAAAAAGTTTTGAGGTCTGTTGCAAGCAGGAGACTATAGTCAATAATAATGAATATTTCAAAATAACTAAGAGAGGAAATTTCTTTTTTTTTTTTAGACGGAGTCTCACTCTGTCGTCCAGGCTGGAGTGCAGTGGCGTGATCTCAGCTCACTGCAAGCTCTACTTCCTGGGTTTACGCCATTCTCCTGCCTCAGCCTCCCAAGTAGCTGGGACTACACGCACCCGCCACCACGCCCGGCTAATTTTTTGTATTTTTAGTAGAGGCGGGGTTTCACCGTGTTAGCCAGAATGGTCTCGATCTCCTGACCTCATGGTCTGCCCACCCTGGCCTCCCAAAGTGCTGGGATTACAGGCGTGAGCCACTGTGTCCGGCCTAAGAGAGGAAACTTCAAGTGTATCAACCATAAAAGAATGCCAAGTAAGTGAGGTAACAGGGATGTTCATTAGCTTCTCTTAATCACTCCATATTGTATTAAGCTAAATTTGGTCTAAAACTTCAGATCGGGGGTTGCATGGGGCAGAGTAGGGGAACTGCCAGCAAAGGGCCGCAGGGATTTCCAGGTTATGGGATGTTCCATATCATGATTGTGGAGGTGGTCATGAGGGTGCACACATTTCTGAAAATTCATCCAGCTGGACACTTAAAATGGGCGTATTTTCTTGAATGTAAATTTTTCTCCATAAAGTTGATTTTATTTATTTATTTATTTTTGAGATAGAGTCTCACTCTGTCACCCAGGCTGGAGTGCAGTGGTGCAATCTCAGCTCAATGCAACCTCTGCCTCCTGGATTCAAGTGATTCTCCTGCTTCAGCTTCCTGAGTAGCTGGAATTTCGTTTTGTTTTTTTTGTTTTTGTTTTGAGACGTAGTCTCGCTCTGTCGCCCAGGCTGGAGTGCAGTGGCCGGATCTCAGCTCACTGCAAGCTCCGCCTCCCGGGTTCACG